ACGTGCAGGTTAAAAATATTAACACGTGACGTGTTGATTAAATTGTATTTCTTAAAAACAAATGAAAATATACAACTCAGATTATCAAATCTCACCATAAAAAGAGATGGCTGTATAGGCTGTTACCGCCTATCAAAAATGAGTCCTAGTAACTGCCTGCGTTTTGTTTTCTCTTAAAATAAATCCTACCTTCATTGTGAAACCTACTTGATGACATGATATTTATTTACCATGTTAGTGAAATCTGTTTTGTGACTCGACAGAAACTGTTTGTAGTGATTAGTGATTCAATTAGCACATGATCGCTAAACCAAGTAAGAAAATCCAATTGTGTGATAAATATAGTAACATTTGATAAAATTAACCAATTTGCTTCTGTATATGGTATAATAAAAAAATAAATATTTATATGTACATATGTATGTATGTATGTGTGTATTTTTTTTCCAGATGTGATGTTTCTAATTTTAGGGGCTGTTTGGTTGCACACTTTTTGAGAAAACTTTTTTCAAAACATCTGACAATGGCAAATTTATAATTAAAAATTTTCCAGAGATTTCTGTAAATTGTGTTTGGTTCAACAAAAAATTTATAGAAATATTTTCTATAAAATATCAAAACCTACCAAATTTAAAAAAAAACAATTTCCTCTCAAAGTGAGAGGAAATCACCAGAAATCTGACACATACCATGTTTAATTAAAAACCTATCAAATCTTGTTATTTTCTATAAACTTATGAGATATTTTCTTGTTTTGAACCAAACAAGCAAAGTACAAAAAACAAGAAAATTGGTACTTTTTGATTTCTCAAAACTTTTCCTATAATTTTTTTAAGAAATACAAGGAAATCATATTTTAGGTGGAAAACATTTCCTATAATTTCTAGAAATTGAACCAAACACCCCCAATACATGTATACAAATATCCGAATGTGGATTCAGATATTTTTACTTCCACTCGTGTTTGCATCTGTTTGGAACTAATATCATATAATTGTCTTAAATTAGTGTATCTGAGATCAAATTTTATGCAGAGATCTAATCTTGGCTTTTAAAAATATAGTGAACCTATTTAAAGGAATCTGGTTTGAAAATTTTAATTCTTTTTAAACTGTTCTTGCATCACATGGCCCATAAACTTTAATTCAAACATCATCCATTTCTTTCATATTCGCTTTGCGTATGCATATGTTTATCACTTGTTCAATACTTCATTTTGACGAAGATTTTTATTGAGTCAACATCTTTTATTGAGTCAACATCCATACCCAGTAAAAATATTGTAGTTTGATATATGGATATCATCAGTGTATATCTAATCTAATCGGCATCTTATTCTTTGTCTCCTACATAATATTATGTTATTATATATTAACAAACCTACCTCTTGACGGATATGTCTAATGGAATAAAAAAAAACACTATGATCTAGTTGGATCAGATCCGACCAAAAATCCCAATCGAATTCCTCATTATGATGCGCCAGCTGTTATTACTAACAAAAAAGTAGGGTTTTTTTTGTCTTTTAGCCTAAAGTTTTATCTCTACTTATTTAAAAACTCACTCATTCTCATAAACATTCATGCCCGCAAAGTATCTCATACTAATTATTTTCAAGCCCAACTTGTGACTTAATTTGTAAACCCAATCTGTAGTATACCCCCAAACTTTATATTGGATTTCCCATAACAAATTCAGAATTCTCATTTCCTCTTTTTTTTTAAGCAGCGACCACGCTCCATTCCTATTGCATTAACGGTAATGCTGCATTAACGGTAATGCAGGGAGAAATTTATTTTTGTCTATTGCTCCTCTCACTCTCTAAAACCCAATTTAGTATATTTATCTTCTTCAAAGTCTCTCTTTCCTCTATTAATTTCCTCTCTTTCTAATAAAACGTTCTTCCATTAATATTTCTCATCATAAAAGACAATACTTTGATTTTAATATGATCTATTTACAATCATTAAAAAATTTCGTAGTACCGGAATCAATAAAGAACTATACTATAACAATGAAATGATACAATTTAGTCGTAAAGAGTTATACTTCTGTATATAATGCTATACTTTGCTCATAAGAAGTTATGATTTTGGCTTTTATGTATTTATCTTTTTTCCAATGAGGAGAAAAAAAAGAGAAGAAATTTAGCGGGGGAAGAATATTTTCATCTTTACAGAAAGCATTAACGGTGTCTAGGTTTTTCTAATGGTGGAAACAATGAGGCATTTAAGTGAAGGATTTTGAAGTAGGCGGCATTTAGTGCAAGCTTGGTGAAACTATAGGGCATTTAAGTGCAATTTAGCCTACCTTTATATAGAAACGCATAAAAATATAAACCCATGAAAGTTAACTTTCTCGCTTGATTGTCACAAGACTATCTTTTGGATTCAAAAGCTAATCTCAAACCATGGATTATAATAACTCAAATATGGGCAGCTCTGAATCTGAAAGTAGAGATAGATACTGAGAACAGAGAGCATCCACTTTATCTAAGTTGCTTGTCTCAATCCGTCTTTTGAATCTCTTTGTCTTTTCTCTTAATATTTTGTGTTAGCTGAGGAACTTGACACTTGTGCTGAGGAAAGTCACAGATTAAGAGCAGAACACTTACATGATACACTTGTTCATAGTAAGAGATGGATATATATCGGGGAAAATTTGCAAAATAGTCCGTTTTTGCTAATTATTTAGCAAAATAGACCGTTTTGCTAAATAATTAGCAAAATAGGCCTCTTTTGAAAAAAAAGAGGTCGATTTTGAAAAACAAGACTCAGAAAACATACGGGACTACTAGTCCCGTATGTTTAGAACCAACTTAATCACGGATTAGTGACTCAGAAAATATACGGGACTAGTAATCCCGTATGTTTTCTGAGTTCATTTCAATGTTTTGTGAAAATTTCTGAGTTCACTAATCCGTGATTAAAACATACGTGACTACTAGTCACGTATGTTTTCTGAGCTGTTTTACAAAATAGACCTCTTTTTGGCATGTTGGCAAAAAAGAGGTCTATTTTGCTAATTATCTAGCAAAACGGTCTATTTTGCTAGATAATTAGCAAAAATGGACTATTTTACAAAATTTCCCTATATATCGCTCATCTTATCTGTAATGGCTTCAAACTTTATAGATAATAGAGACTCAATGATTTAGTATTTTCTTTTATATTTCTCTGTTTTATTGTGAGTATATTTGCGGGAAAAAAGAAACAAAGCTTTGCAAAAGACATATAATAGGGGATATTTATAGCCAATATTACGAGCGTCTCTGTTCTAGCTTTATTCTTTTCGGCCCCGTTTGGCAAAGGGTTAATGAAGAGGGGTTAAAGAGAAGGATTAATGTACTTAGCCCATTTGATAATCCGAATGACTAAATTATTAACCCGTTAAATAAGTTTTATTTTAGCCCTTATGATCAGTTTTAGTGTTTGGGAATAACAATGATTTTGACTATTTTCTTTATAATTAGAAGGGTTAACTCTTATTCCATCTAAATAGGAGTATTAGTAAACCCCTCATTTTGAGGGGTTAACTCATTTTAACCCCTCTAGAGGGGTTAACTTAACCCTTCTATATTTTTTATGTTTGGCAAATTATGGAGGGTTAACTCACTTTAACCCTTATATAGATTTGTTGTGTTTGGCAGGTTAAGAAGGGGTTAAGTCTCCTTAACCCCTCACTTAACCCTTTGCCAAACGGTACCTTCGGGTTTTGCAAAATTTCGGAGATATAACTACTTGTGATGTATAATTTACCTGACAAATATTGTTACACGTAGAGAAACACTGCACATAATAAATATGACGTAGAGAGCTTTGAGTCACGCGACAAATGTTTTATAAGGTAAATATTGCATGCTACAGATGATACAATACATGTGAATAATGTTGCAGCTTTATAATACAATTAGTACCTCGAACTATATTACTTTCTCCTACTTGTATAAGAATGCAACATAGGATTGTGTATAATGTGATATTAACATGCGTTAAATCAACTTAATTAATAAAATATCAATAGGCATGATAATAATTAAAAGCCCTGCATTATTTGTTATTAAATTGATTTAATTATGATATAGATTCATCACTTTTTTCTGGTTAAGCACTAAGCCCTGCTCACCGATAAAATAGGTAGGTGGGGTTGTGAGAAACCCCTAAAATTTAGGCGACGTTCTCCTCTTTTTTTGGGGGGAAATAAATAAATTTATATACTTTCTGGCCATAATGTAATTTCCTTTAAATTCCTCCGTATTCTTTATTAAAAGAGGACAAAAACAAAATCGTAACTTTCGAAGTTTCCATTAAAATACAAGAACAATAATAATCACTGCACCTAAAATTAGAAACATGATCAATCAAATCCTCACAATGCAACTTCCAAATCATAACCAAAACTCAAAGATTCCCAATAAATTCACATATTATATTATTCTCGGCTAAATACCTATATTGGTATTTTAATTTCGCCCTATTTACCAAGAAGGTATTTTAATTAGGCAAACATGTTTTAAGACATTTTAATTGATTCAACTTACTAACAAGGCCTTTTTTTAGTCGGCGACCAGTTTTCCGGCGAGAGCTCGTCACGTGCGTGGCACGTGATGACTTAAAACTGTTTTTTAGCTGCTGATGTGGCACGGATTTTCTGACGTGACAGTGTTTAATGGCGGGAATTAACCCTCTAAAAATCCCAATTCAGCCAAAATAGGACAGATCCGTGCCACATCAGCAACTAAAAAACAGTTTTAAGTCATCACGTGTCACGCACGTGACGAGCTCTCGCCGGAAAACTAGTCGCCGACGAGAAAAATGGCATTGTTGGTAAGTTGAATCAATTAAAATGCCTTAAAGCAGGTTTGGCTAATTAAAATACCTTCTTGGTAAATAGGGTGGAATTAAAATACCAATATGGGCATTTAGCCTATTATTCTCAATATATAGGGAACCCTCCAACTCAATGCACAGAATCTTTATAAACCCCCCACTCTCCTTTTGTTCATGGCCCCAAAACAAAAAAAATCAAAAATTTGCAGATCCCTGCAGTTTTCCTCTCCTCAAGTCCTAGTCCTCATCCGTGAGCCCACATGGCTCTCTGTTTTCTCTCCATGAAGACATGGATGAAGACATTGTAGTATTTTGGATCTGCTGCTCTTTGTTCTGATCCTCGAAGAGCTTGCTACACAATTAAATACACAAGTTCAAAGTGCCAATACCCACGTGCCCCTTTCTCATATATTCCAACAAGAAGAGCTCTATACAAAGCATTGATCAAAGTTTTTGGTTGAATATAACAGTGCCCATTATCTTCAATGGAGATAATTTTACAGTATCCTCCTCTATTTGCCTTCTTTTTCTTGGTATCTTGGATTTTGATAGAGTTCTTGAGGTTGAGGAGGGTGGAGTGTCAAGAGAGGAGAGTGTTTAGAGATAGGAAATTTACAGTCATTGCTGAGATTATAACTTTATTTAGCCTGTTAAACTCTTCAATCTATCTCGGTTTTGTTGGTTATGAGGTTTTGAGGCTGAGGTTAATCTCTCTGGGGTGTTTTTCTCAAGCTGGGTCATGGATTATTGTAACAGTTTTTGCTTTTTACTGCAAAGGAAAAGTTTTGAGAGGCAGCAGCAGTTGGCCTTTTGTTCTTGTCTCTTGCTGGGTTTTCTCTGGACTCATGCAGTTATCTTTGTTGTCCTTCTCCTTCATCAGACATCTTGGGCTCGCTGCATTGCCTAGTTTTTTGCCAGATTCTTCGGTTGCCGACTTGATTTGCGTCCCCTTCACAATTTTCCTCTGTTTCAGTTCAGTTTCTATGAATTCATCAAGAAATTTTCAGGAGCTTGAACAGCCTTTGTTGGTGAAGAAAGAAGAAGAGGATGATTTTTCGACTGCAGGTTTATGGAGTAAGCTCACCTTCCAATGGCTGAACCCTGTTTTCAGAAAAGGCCGGGCTCAGAGGCTAGAACTTCAACATATCCCCTCAGTGCCTAAATCCGAAACTGCAGAAGTTTCATATTCATCGCTGCAAGAGTCGCTCGAGAAACAAAAGCCCGAGTTCTCACCACTGCTTAGAGCGATCATCAGTGCAGTTTGGGGACCTCTAGGCATCAATGCAGTTTTTGCAGGTATGAGGATCTTCGCATTTTCTCTCTAATTTTCTCATGATTTGCTTGTATCTGACAAATCCTCAACACTACAGGCATCAACACACTGTCATCGTATCTCGGTCCTTTCCTGATTGCAAACTTCGTCAACTTTCTATCTGGTGAGGACTCAAAGCTCGGCCATGGCCATGGCTACTCCCTTGCATTGCTGTTCTTCTTTGGCAAAATGGCGGAGTCGCTGTCTCAGAGGCAATGGTACTTCGGTGCAAGCCAAATTGGCGTTCGTGTCAGAGCATCATTAATGGTTTCTATCTACAACAAATCTCTCGCGATAAAGTATTCAAACACAATCAGTGGAAAGATCATCAATTTCCTTGACCTTGATGTTGAAAGGGTCGGAGATTTTTTCTGGTACATCCATGGGATCTGGTTGCTCCCACTTCAAGTCTTTCTAGCTCTGTTCATTCTCAACAGGAATCTGGGATTCACTGCATCCATATCCGCTTTCCTCACTACAGTTATAGTGATGGTGAGCAATACACCACTGGCCAATTCTCAGGAAAAGCTGCATTCTAAAATCATGGAAGCGAAGGATTCGAGGATTAAAGCCACAGCAGAGACATTGAAATGTATGAGAATCCTAAAGCTGCACTCTTGGGAGACTGCGTACTTAGACAAGCTCTTTGCACTCAGAGATGTAGAGAGGCGATGGCTTAAGCGATATCTTTACACTTGCTCGGCCATTGCCTTTCTCTTCTGGGCATCTCCCACTTTAGTATCAGTCGTAGCCTTTGGGGTTTGTATTCTAGTGAAGGTGCCATTGACTCCTGGCAGGGTTCTTTCCGCTCTAGCGACGTTTAGAATCCTGCAAGAGCCTATCTACAATCTCCCTGAGCTCATATCAATGATAACTCAGACGAAAGTATCACTAGACCGAATCCAAGAATTCATCAGAGACGAGCAGAAGAAAAATCCTTTGCCTACATTCACTACAGGATTATCAGATGTAGCAGTGGATATTGAGCCAGGGAACTACACGTGGGAACCTGACTCAAGTCTGAGAAAATCAGTACTGATGATTGATAAGAAGATAAAGATCAAAAGAGGACAGAAAGTCGCGGTTTGTGGATCAATTGGTGCAGGCAAATCTAGCTTTCTTTGCAGCATACTCGGAGAGATACCGAAGATGTCTGGTCGACAGACTAAAGTGTTTGGATCGAAAGCGTACGTTCCTCAGAGTGCTTGGATTCAGACAGGAACTATTCGAGAGAATGTGTTATTTGGGAAGGAGATGGACAACAAAGTGTATGAGGAAGTAATACAGGGTTGTGCTTTGGAAAGAGATATTGGGCTTTGGATTGATGGAGACATGAGTCTAGTAGGAGAAAGGGGAATGAATCTAAGTGGAGGGCAGAAGCAAAGGATTCAGCTTGCAAGAGCAGTTTACAGTAATTCAGATGTTTACTTGCTTGATGATCCCTTCAGTGCGGTTGATGCTCACACTGCAGCACATCTCTTCAAGGTATCTGCAACTTCAATTACTTGATCACATGTTTTTGTCTTTTCATATGCATCTTTCTCCTAAATTTTGGGTTAAAAAGTTTTACCTTGTCTTATTGCTTTTTACATGATCACGTGGACAAAGGACCAACAAGCAAGTAAATTTGATATCCAAGGAATTTGGTGGCCAATCACAGGTCCCACACAATTCAAACTTAGGATATATCTTATTGTCCTTAATTATGCTAGTTTTCTCCAATGGAATATTTCATATAGAGCACCCCTATATACTGCAACACTGTCCCTTACATTAATTTATCAGAACATACCCCACATATCACACAGCAGAAAGAAATACACCATCTCGGACCAAATACTATATTGGGTAAAACATGTTACACTTGCACATGCATACTTAGCCTCTTAGAAATCTGTGATGTAGTTAGATCAAATTGTAGCATATTTAAAATGCCTATATACAGAATGGATACAGTATTAAATATATTAACTGAAATAAACACTAAATCAAAACCAGGTTATTATGACTGTTCTCACTACAAGATGAAGTCTACTAAGTTTTTTGGTTTATATACTTTGTATATGCAGTCAAGGACAAAAGATAATTTGTACACGTAGATATTCTGACTAGATATGGATGATAAATGTGTGTGTGTATACTTTGTCTACATACGGAATAAATACAGTATGAAATACTAATAGAAATTTGACAACTTTGTATATGCAGTCAAGGACAAAAGGTAATTTGTACACGTAGATATTCTGACTAGATATGGATGATAAATGTGTGTGTGTATACTTTGTCTACATACAGAATAAATACAGTATGAAATACTATTAGAAATTTGACAGTTTATATGTCAAAACCAGAATAACTGTAATTGTTTTCGCTATAACATGAAGCTCACCAAGTTTTTAGGTATACATACATATAATATAACGCTTCTTACTATAAAAGGATGATAAATGTGCAGGAGTGTCTAATGCGGCTCTTGTCTTCTAAGACTGTCATCTATGTTACCCATCAACTGGAATTTCTGAATGCTGCAGATCTCATTTTGGTAACCCCCTCTTTCCTGGGATTTCAGAAATCAGCTAATGCGAACAAATAGTACATTATATAATTAATGCTCGATTTCACAGGTAATGCATAAGGGGAAAATTGTTCAATCAGGAAAGTATGAGGACCTAATTGCAGATAGTAATGGGGAGCTTGTACGACAAATTAATGCACATAACCAGTCACTGAGCCATGTAACTCCACCGAATGAGCATAACCCATCAACATGCACACAAAATAAGGAAAAGCAAACAGATGTACAAGAAATTAAAACAAATTATCAAATCCGAAACTCTGAAGCCCCAGAGAAAGCATATGAAGAGGAACGGGAATCTGGAAGAGTGAAATGGGATGTTTATCGGACTTTCGTGACTTCAGCATATAAGGGAGCTCTCGTGCCAGTAATACTTTTATGCCACGTTTTATTCCAAGGACTACAAATGGGAAGCAATTTTTGGATTGCATGGGCAACTGATAAAGAAGAGTTCATCAGTAGAAAGAAACTGATTGGGGTGTTTGTTCTGTTGTCAGTGGCTAGCTCGTTGTTTGTTTTGGGGCGGGCAATTTTGCTAACGACAGTCGCCATTGAGACAGCTCAGCGCCTCTTCCATGGCATGATGACAAAGATTTTCCGAGCTCCGATCTTCTTCTTTGACTCCACGCCTTCCAGCCAAATACTTAATAGGGTAAGTTTTTCTCTCTTTCCAGAAAGCTCGTATGCATCTTCCTTCCATTCGACAATAATAATCCTTGTGGTTTTGGGGCAGTGGGATCGTTCTGTGTATTGTCTGTCATAAAATCTTTAAGCGTGAGAGAAGTTACCAGATCAGTAGAAAAATGATTGTCTCAGTTGTGTTTGATTTCTCTGTGATTGTGTGCGTCTGCTCCATTCCCTTAGAGACTTAAAGACTAATAACCTTTTATACCCTAGATTGTTTAAACACAAAAGTACATGTAAAAGTAAATAAAATAGAGAAACATACAGGTATTCATACTTTCCTGCTCCTTTCTAGTTGATACTCTCAAATTGACTTGTTATAGTATTTTGATCATGTATAGTAATTGTCATAAGAATTTAGTTCTTGTAAAAGACACAAGTACGAGGAAGTGTCAACCGCTAGTGTAGATGAGGGTGTTCAGGTCTATGTGAAAGAGCTTCATGAATAGAGACATAATGTCTTAACTTTTCCCCCCTTCAGTCTTCCACAGATCAAAGCACGCTTGACACAGACATTCCATATAGAGTAGCGGGATTAGTGTTCGCGCTTATTCAGCTCCTATGCATCATAGCTCTAATGTCTCAAGTTGGATGGCCAGTATTAGTTCTCTTCGTCATCGTACTTGCAATCTCCTTCTGGTATCAGGCAAGTCAACTAACACATATTCCGTAATTATATTCATAATTTCTTGGTTTCCTAGAAATGAACTCTCAAAGATCATAACTTTGTCACAGAATTACTACATCAGTTCTGCAAGGGAATTAGCAAGAATGGTTGGAATTAGAAAAGCTCCAATTCTTCACCATTTCTCGGAGTCCATAGCTGGAGCTTCAACCATCCGCTGCTTCGGTCAGGAAGAACGCTTCTCAGTGAGAAACTTGGCTCTGATCGATGACTACTCTCGCATCACATTTCATAATTCCGCAACCATGGAGTGGTTATGTGTTCGCATCAATTTCCTCTTTAACCTGGTGTTCTTCCTAGTACTGATTATATTGGTAACCATGCCAAGGAATGCTATTGATCCCAGTAAGCTCTCTTTTTTAACTAAAGGGCTTTTTGCATATAATCCCCTTGAAACATGTGTATTTACAGAACTACCCCCTAAAACTCAATATTCGCAGAACTACTCCAAATCATCAATTTTGGAAGGGGAAAAAAACCCCCCAAATCAATAAATCATCAATTTTGTTGAATATATGAGCAAAAGTTTGCATCTTTTGTTGATATTTTTACATTTTAGTTACAAATTAACCCCTGTCAAAGTTGATGGTTTATTGATTAGGGGTTCTTTTTTTCCCCAAAGACAATATTTTGGGGGTACAATTTGGAGGGTAGTTTGGTAAATGCACACGATTTAAGGGGTATATGTACAGAAAACCCTAAACTAAAAGTTCTTATAGTATAGTCCAAGATTTCAGAAGCACTGACTAGCATAACTTGCCATCCAGGCCTTGCAGGGCTCGCTGCAACCTACGGTCTCAATCTGAATGTACTGCAGGCTTGGGTTATATGGAACCTATGTAATGTCGAGAACAAGATGATATCCGTAGAAAGGGTTCTTCAGTTCTCCAATATATCAAGTGAGGCTCCATTGGTCATTCAGAACTGCAGGCCAGAAAAAGACTGGCCAAGGTGTGGAACCGTTGAGATTGACAATTTGTATGTCCGGTACAATCCAGGACGCCCTCTGGTTCTCAAAGGAATTAGCTGCACTTTACCAGGAGAAAAGAAAATCGGTATTGTAGGAAGGACAGGGAGTGGGAAGTCCACTCTTATTCAAGCTCTGTTTAGAGTAGTAGAACCCTCAGCAGGGAGGATAATGATCGATGGAGCTGATATTTGTCAGATGGGTCTACATGATTTGAGGTCTAGATTAAGCATCATACCTCAAGAGCCAACACTTTTTCAAGGAACAGTGAGGACTAATCTGGATCCTCTACAGGAGCATTCGGATTCAGAAATATGGGAGGTAACATTTTTGCTCCTTTTTTTTAGTTTGTTTATTGATGTATGAGTTTTATTAACTTAGAGAGCTTGCAGGCCCTATATAAGTGCCAGCTTCTGGAGATAGTTAAACAAGATCAGAGGCTACTTGATGCACCAGGTACTAGGAACTAGCTATATCTGGAGTATATTATTTATACAAGGGGATATTATAGTACCACTACAAGGGGAAATTATAGTACCACTATAACTTACAGTATCGGCATCTTAAGAATAAATGACCTACACATAGTATGTTAAAAAATGTCAAGAATCACACTGTAAAACTCAAAAGAAAGAAAAAGATCAATTTATCTTCAATATTTTAAGGCTTTCTCTCAGGGCACAAGATGTTTGAAATGACATTACTACTATGATGCAGATCAATTTATCTTCAATATTTTTAAGGGTTTCTCTCGGGGCACGAGATGTTTGAAATGACATTTTTACTATGATGCAGTTGCGGAAGACGGAGAGAATTGGAGCGTGGGACAGAGGCAGCTTGTTTGCTTAGCCAGGGTACTGCTTAAGAAGCGGAGAATCCTAGTCATGGATGAGGCTACAGCTTCGGTAGACACTGGAACAGATAATTTTATCCAAAAGACAATAAGAGCAGAAGCCAACAACTGCACTGTGATCACCGTTGCTCACAGAATACCAACAGTCATTGACAGCGACCTGGTTCTGGTACTTGATGAAGGTATGCAATGTATATATCTACATGTTTGACAAATGCAATTTCCAAAAGATTTGGATAGGTGTAGAAACCAATATAAATTCTACAATAAAACTCTTCTCGGTTGGTGCAGGAAAAATTTTGGAGTTCAGTCCTCCAGGCGATCTTCTCCGAGACAAAACATCAGCTTTCTCAAAGTTGGTGATGGAATTCTTGTCGAGGTCTAGGAATAACCACGACTCAGAGCTCTATTTAAAATGACGGTCGCCATAGGATCATCATGGAGCCCTTCATGTTCTCGATGTGCAGTTCACTAATGTCAAAGGCAGTTGCAGAATACAACTTTGTTACCGGCAGGACAAAAAACTAACCTACCATAGAAATTATACTAGGATATAGATTAACAGGTAGAGAGAGGATCAAGACAGCAGGAAAAGATAGTTTACAGATAAAGATGCTTCTAAATGGGTTGATATAGTTAATGTACGATTTACTGACGCAGAAGTACAGAAAGTTTTATTTTCATGTTTCTATTTAGTGTTCCTATGAGAAAAGTGACTTAAATTGTCAAACATTATCTGGTGACAGGGTAGCATGGCATTTCTGATGAGGGAGTTTTTTAGTGGATATGATATGTGAATTGTTCTTGCATCTAAAGAGGTTGCGGAGGGAAGCTAATTTAGAAGGAAAATCAATCATGATTATGTCCATCCCAGTTAAAATTTAACAGCATTTCTAGTACTAATCTTCTTGGAGGGAAGCATTCTCCCAGTCGTAATTGATTCCTTCAGCCCGTACATATCCAACAATTTTTAGACCTCACACATGGTTCACCCTAAAGACAGCAAAAGATTATCTCGACATGTCCAAGTTTATTAACCAAAACTTACCACAGTTGAAACTATGAACATATGTGATCATTTTACTTGGGGTGTTATCTGCAGGATATGCTAGCTGTAAAATGTATCTATAATTCTCACGTAATATAGAAAATATGGAAACTCTCATGTAGAAATTTATGATACCCTGACAATTCAATAACTGCCAATTTCATATTTAAAAAGAAGGAAATAATATGAAATCATCGAAAGTAAAGATGAATGATGACAATTTAATAAGGTCAGGTCAGGATCCAACACCTGTAGAATACAGGACAAACTTTAGGACATAGCGTGAGTTGTATCAGCACATATTCTCCAAAACATTGGGATAATACTGTCCAACATGGATTCCTTTGTTTGTTCATAGACAGGTTTTATGTACTTTATTCTGTTATTTTCCGCTTGTTTGTATTCCTTAAAAAAACTGGATAAGGTATCTGTTTCTCTGCAGTTCATCGCTTTATTATTTGCTGTGACTTTGATGTGTTCTTCTCCAATTGGTTATTTCTTTCTTTCGCACTTTATTCTCTTTCCACGAAAATTGCAGTACGTTCACCTGTTTCCATTAAACAACGAAGGACGGAAACTAAATCCATAAGAATGTATAATCCAAAGAATAGTAAAGGACGATCCAGAGGCGAGTCAGATGCAAATGTTCCTATTTGTAGCTCCGATAGTAAATGCATTGGTATGGGCTAATTGGCTAACGTGACAAAATATCCACAAAGGTTTACTAAATGAAAATCCGACGCATACCACAATATATCAATAGGGAGGTACAATGTATCCTTAGAAAAACCGGGAGTAATTTTGTTAGCAACATTCTTTAAAATCACGCGATGTTGTGTCTACAAATCATTCAACAGATCCTCATCGTATAAATGACCCAAAGGGTCAAGAATACAGAGGTTGTAAATATTGTACCGTGCACCACGGAAAAGTACTCTCTAACTGAACTGATTTCCAAGTGTGGATCATCCAGTGGATCGAGCATAATATGATACAGGTCTCTTTTATTACGATGCGGGGATGAATGAGATAACAACACATCATAAACTCGAAGCTTGAAAATGTTATGCAAGTACAAACCTCTTGTTTTGAACCAGCAAAGAACTGGTTCACAAATGGCATTACCTCAGGGAATTATTCTGTGTGAATTTTCTCGCACCGTGCTCTGCGTATCTCTCCCCCTAGGCAAAATTGACCCCAAAAAAAGAAGAAAAGAAGAAAAAAAGAAAAAAAAACCTCCATCCCTATTTTCTTGGTAACCCCGTCATCAAATTTCAAAAGAAAGATGACGGCATGGTGGTTCAATTTTGAATTTGCAGAAAGCATGTTCATTGAGGCAAAGGATCAAACACTTGGTGGGCACGGTGTGTTACCTCAGAATTAAGCCATCTCAGTGAGAAGGCAAGCTCAACTGGGAATGTACAACAAAGAGCTTCCTTTCTCTTCTTGCCCTTCTCTTAAACTGGTTTTTTTTTTTTCTTTCCTGTTTTTTAATCAGGATTACTTTGAATACAAGAAGATTTCGGTGCCAAAAGTCTCGTTATATACATGGCCCATGGGCTGCAAATGAGCCTGGCTTGGGCCCAATTTAGAGCATGTTTGTTATTGTGTATTATAACCCATTGCACTGTAATACGGTCAAAATCAATAAATGGTTATAAGGTAGGTGGATTATATTTTTAAGTAGGGGTTTTTGTCTTTTACCCTAAAGTTTTACTCTAACTTGTTTTTAAACTCATATACTTATAAAATACCTCTGAAACCTAAAAATACAAAGATCACTTATTTTTAAACCCAAGTCTTCATAATACATATAAATATACATTATATACATATTAAAAATTCAATATCCCCTTATTAACCTCTTCTTCATTCTCTCTTCTACTCTCTACCCCTCTTCCAGACAACTTTTCATCATCTCATTAATTGGTCTCCTCCTCTACCCCCCAACTTACCCTTTAAATCCATTTCCTCCTCCTAATTGACCTTTATGTTCTTCTTCCTACCACTCATCCGCTTCCTCCTTAAAAGACTTCAACATGAAGCTCGCTCGCGACATCAAGTCCACCAGCTTTCCCTCCACTCTTTGGCCAACAAACTCAAGCACTCCAAAGCTTGTTGTTGGTTGCTGACTGCTCCAACCAACTCTCTCCCATCATGTATGTTGACTTCAACCGTTCAACGAAGTCCTCGCTTAAAGATCAGCTCCACCACATTTGCCTACAGTCACAAAATTACTTATATGTTGGATAGAATTAGACTTTGGATTTAAGGCTTGGAATGTTAAAAATATATGGACAAAGTTTTTTGTATATTGTGTGTTTGATAAAATGCTTCAAAAAGATTTTTAGTTGATTTGTAATATCTAATAGGATTATGTGTATTAAATAGAATTTATTTTATGCATATTACATGTTTGACTAAATGCTTTAAAAAGTTTTTTTGTCGATTTGTATCTTTTGAAAAGATTATATAGCAAGCCGTCAATCGCCAATGGAGTTTTATGAATGATATAGATCTCATAACGAGTTATATGTTGTTCTGAAAGGGCTATAACTCTTTATGATATATTGTAGCTCTTATGATTTATTTTAGCTCCTTGTTTGAGAAGTATAGCTCTTTAATGAAAAACGTAGTTCTTTATGGACAAAATATAGTTTTTTTATGAGAAATATATAGCTATTTATGTGAAAAATAAAGAGCTATCCTTTTCCAAAAACTAAAAAAATTGAGAGTGGATCTCTTGTTGACATGAATAACTGATTAAATAACACATTGTATACATCATTACACATTTACATTGCTCAGAAAAAAACTGATATGATTTATTCCACTAAGTTTCAGAATTCCAGAGGCCATAAAGAGCTATACTTTATCAATAAAAAGTTATAATATAGTTATAAAGAGCTATATTTTCATGATAAGGTGTCACATTTTACTATAAAGAGCTATACTTTTTTTTTAAACTGAAGAATTGTGAGTGGACATCTTGTCGACATGAATAATTAATTAAACTGATAATCACATTTTATTACAATTTTATACCCTCATTATCTATTTTATATAAATAAATATAGCACTAATAATTTTTTTTATCTTTAAATTGCAGGTTAATGAAGAATAAATCTCAAACTCTCATCTCTCAACAAAAGCCCGTGATTTATTGAAAAATGAAGCCATGAAGCCCAATGAATTCTTTCAAGTATTTAAATGAAGAAATAAATCAAAGCCCAAGCCCAAGAGTCCAAGAAAAGCCCAATGTCCAAAGCCCCAAAGCAAACAACAAGAAGAATCTGCGGACAGCAAAAGCAGAAGGGGAGGCATCGATGCCCGCATCGATGGGATCAAACTTGAGCCCCAAGAATGCAATTTCGGCCGTAGATGAAATCTGGATGACTTCACATCGACACAGGCATCGATGCCTACATCAATGCCTGCATCGATACCCTGGGCGGTTTGTTACAGTTTAATGGCTGAAAATTGTTGGTTTTGGATAAGATTTCAATCCAATGGCTCTCATTCACTGATGTTTACTATAAATAGGGGTAGAGAGTGAGGGGTTAGAGGTGTGAAAATTTTTGTAACTCCTTTTGGAGAGGAGGACTAGATCTTCTCATCCAATGTCCTCATCACGGTTTAGAGAAATGGCGATTGTGCCAAATAATTTATGAGGGATTAGATTATTCTGCAAAAACTTCCTTAGAATCAATGTGCCACGGGGATTTTATGAGGAAAAATGCTGATGAAGCTTGGGAGTTTTTGGAGAGTCTTTCTGAAAAAACAATGCAATGGGAACAGTGCGATGACAGGGTTTCATCAGTTCCCCATTCTAAGTCTAGTGGTCTTTCCTTGGAGTCAAACATTGCTTCTGAAGCGAAGATGGCGACAATTCTGCGGAGGTTAGAAGCCTTAGAAATTAAGGAACGAGCTCCAGCTCAACTCAATCATGTTTCTTTCCCAGGATGTCATAATTGTCAGTCTCCTACCCACGTTTCAGAGGAATGCCCTCTCTTAGGAAACAATCATTCATTAGAACAGATGAACGCTGCATTCCAGCACCCTAGAAATGATCCATTTTCTCCAACCTACAATCCAGGTTGGAGAAATCATCCCAACTTTGCATGGAATCTAGGAAATTCTCCCGGAACTCAAAATTTCACTCCCGCTTCGACCCAACATTTTCCTAGGGGAAACACAGTTCCATTCAATTCTCATTCACAATTTCAACAACCCAATCTGCCGTATCAAAATCAGTCTCCTCTTCATCAAGCTGTAATTCAGACTCCTCACAATCCAGATCAGGATAAACGTCTCAATGTCTTGGAAAGGGGTTTAGAAACCATAATTAAGGCCTCTACTCAAACCACGAATATGTTGACTCAAACATCTAGCACGTTGAATTCCTTCATGCAATCAACCGGACAAATGCTCAACTCCAACACTCAAGCTATAGCTAGATTAGAATCCCAACTTGGTCAACTAGCTAGTGCCGTGAGTGAAAGAGAGAAAGGAAAATTTCCGAGTCAACCCGTGGTCAACCCTAATAACACAGGATGCAGTTCATCCTATGAAGCTCAAGTGAATGCAATCCATTCACTTCGGTCAGGTAGACAGGTCGATAATCAAGTGAGAACTCCTCCAAGTCAAACTCTTGATCCTGTACAAATTCCTTCTCCTT